GTCGCTTCGACCTAGGGGGGGGGTAGACATTGCACCTCCTCAATGCTGTCCAGTGACTTCGTAAGGAGCAAATCCAGACAGTTTGACTGTTGCCCTTCGCGCACCCTCGTCGGAAAAAAGAGACGTGCTGAGTGAGAAATAACTTGAGGGTCATGTCCAGCAAACGTCGGTCGAAAGCATGGTCTGGACCAGATGCATAAGCTGAACTCCAGTCGACAAGAGGTGCGTTGAAGTCCCCCATAATTAAGACGTCAGACCGGATAGACAATCGTTCCGGGTCCTCAATCAGACGGGCATCCGCCGTGGGATCATTTCTCGGCGGTCGGTAGACCGTCTGGACGTCAAGGCTCGGTGAACCCGGTGCTTTCATAGTTAGCCAAATTGCCTCAGAAGCACACGAAAGTTTATCTGTTTTGTCAAAGACTATAAGCCCGTGTTTTACATACGTGAGTACACCTCCGCCCTGACGTCCTGACCTGTCTCTTCTAAACAACTGGTATCCTGGTATAGTTAACTCACGGTTGTCCACCTGCTGGTTCAGCCAAGTTTCTGTAAGTGAGATTATATCCGAGGATAGATCAGATAGATGGATCTTTAGCTCGTCAACTTTCGATAACATGCTCTGCACATTTGTATATAGAAATTTCAGTTTACGATTTATGTCTGGCAGAGAAGTAATTTTGATGCGTCTAGGACTTTCGCCTACTATTCCAGTTGCGCGGTCATCCGGATCGGGCCCGTCCAAAGAAAGGATGATGGGCGCTGTCTGATTTGGTTGTTGTAGATAAACAAATTCCGTTCTCCTTCGCTGAGTCTTTTCCTCAGCTCTAGAACTAGAAGACGACGCTTCAGCCTCTCTGCTGGTGAGTAATCCGGTTGTAATGGCCGACAGCACTCTCTCGCTTTAACCAAGCTAATACCTACCTACGTCCGATTTTTGACCTGATAATAGTCGAGGTAACTATTCGCCGTTCAAACAGTCTTTGGTCTTTTTTCCTATAACGACGCCTTCATAGGATGGCGATTTCTGTTAACAGAACAATGTCACTTAATTGACAGAACAATACAGATCTGTATCCCATATGTCGCCTGTACATAGTCCTCTACCCCTTTTCTTAATTTTACACGCTCAATAAACTTCTACATGCACATACTTGCTGTCCATTGTTCTTGTTCGTGTAGACCTCGATACGCGTATGATTCGTCGGCGCAATCACTGGTATATGAGGGTTGTTTACACTTAGTACGCCTAAGGGGTATGTGTGTTCCGCGTTCCTCTGTAGAAAAGTAGAACCTATTGTACGGGGAATTAGGTAAGGGAGAATACTGGTAACGTAAAAGTGGGATTAGTATTACGGAGAGGATGGCGTCCACCTGAGAGTTTTTTTTTCGAGTACGGAGCAATAAGGGTCTGTCGCGTCCATAGCCCCGTGTGTATCCCCGCCCATATTGGTCATAGTCCCTTCTGGCTCCTGGGACAGGACGGGTCAGGACGGGGCTGGTGCTAGCAGGGACTGATTGTAGTGCATGTTGAATTCATCCGTCTATTTAAATAGACGGAGTTTTATAAACGGACACTAGCTGGTTAATCTATTACAAATTTGAACTGCATTTCAGAAGTGTGTTAACGACTGAAAGGGGGTCTCTTGACTGGGTTCGAAATATTGACTGTCGTGGTTCGGTCCCCCATGAGGTCGGCTTTTGATATCTTTTCCGATCTTGTTCAAGAACCACAGTCAATAAGAATGATTATTTAAGTAGCATGCATTTTTCTTGTATTTCGATGTCCTTGAAAATGTTTATGCACCTTCTGGAAATCGTGCGCAATAATAGTCTTTCGAATTTGGTTTGAAATTCTGGACCTCCAAGGGATTAGCCTTATCGGGATTTCTGCCTACTGGACGCTCGGAGGGTCCATTTGGAGTAAGCAATTGAATAGAAACCATCAATTTCTCCATCCACACGAAACTTCGATGGGACTTTCTTTGGACAGCCATTCTCTGTCGGACCTCTTCTCTGCCATGGAAGAGTTCAAAAACGGCTGAGTCGTTTGCTACTTGTTTCATGTCGTCAGCCTGGTTAAATAGCTTCTCCTTCATCCATAAACACTTCTCCAGTTTATTTACTTGTAAATGGTAATCGAACAAGTGCCTTCGGGGTGTTGCCCAGAAAGTGCGCCCCAAGTGGGATTCGAACCCAGTCAAGTGGGTGACGGGGTCGGCGTGGTTACCAATGGACCACTGATGAGCAGCAGACTGGCTAAAAATAACAATCTAATAAACTATGCGCCTTGTATCAATGAATGTAGCGTAGGAGGTCCCGCTATAAAACCTTCTTCTGCCAAATGGGCCAGGAGTTTACTAACGTTAATGGATGTTAACTACAACAACGAAGATAAAAGACATGCGTCATGTTTCCGAAAGTCCTGAAGATGGAGAAAGAGATAAGAGACCTAAAATAGATATTGCGATGTTGATGAAACTTCCTCGCCATTCACCTCTAACGAAAACGTCGACGACGTCAGACCCTCAGAAAACAAAGCGAACATATTCAAGCACAGTCTATTTAACTGGATAAACCGCCCTGAAAAAGACCGCCCGCCTAAGAAATAAATCACAATTGCGAATGGACATCTTGCGCAAGAAACGACCGATGTCAGTTAACGCAGAAGAGTCCCTGGGGATGCAAAAAGACAAAACAGGTCGGAGTGTCCGTATGAAAGAGCAGGGTCACACGCAATGCCAGCAAATACTACACTGCAGAAGGCATGATCACGAAGCCTCGGTGGGTGAGATACCCTGCGGTAGTAATGCCATGACAGCTGTCTCTGAGTCAAACGATGTTGACGACGGAAATTGGCGAAATGCTGACCGCGTGGGGGAAAATAATGTCCGGAGCGCTGTACTAAACAGGCCTCTCGACCGAGATCGAAATATTGTCATAAAGGGAGCTCCTGAGTCCCCTTCTTCCATTACAAGAGTAAGAATCGAATTCGATCTCAACCTCTTTCGGACATATTTAAATGCCGTCCGTCAAGACGGAGAATTTATCACCGTGCCAAAAGCTTCCCGTCTAGGAAACTCAAGGTGCGTCGCGTGGACTACCAAGGCCTGCTTAAATCGTTTTTGCAAATGAAGTCCAGGCTTTCCATCTCTTAGAAGGAAGGATGGCTCTTTTTCATCCGCATAAGGTGTTTCTTCAGCCGGATAACGAACCGACAGAAAAAGCCAAAATGAGAGACCTCAGGACAGAACTGAAATGGAGGGCAGAATAAGGGGAGAAAGGGTTGACAGTAAAGGATGGCAAGATAAAACATATCAAGCGATCGTTCCAGTGGCTAACCCCCTTTGTATTCAGGGCCGGTTCCCTCCGAGAAGAGGGATATTAAAGGTGCTGTATTCCAACATGCAGATGCTTAAGGTGCGTCGCGTGGACTACCAAGGCCTCTTAAAATTATATCCCAAATAATGCTCTGTCCTGTGTACCGGTTACTTATCAAAGCCCTTCTACATATCCAGCTAATAATTCATACATGAATTTCCCTTAGTCATTTTTGCCCCAACCTATTTCAGGCTTCCCACCATCTAAGGCCAATTCTTCTCAGGTACGTCAAACTACCTCCTTTGACTTCCTACCTAGACCTGATTTCCCACACATTATAATTATTATAGCTGCCTACCCGCCCCCACTAGACACTATTTTCCTTCTAGGCCTCATACCACCCCTTCTCCTCCACAATTTAACTACCAACAAGCTTATCCATGTTCTAACTCCACTTGCATTCCAATGTTCCAAAAACTATATCCGCACATATATTAGGTCTGATACTCAGGCTTCACTTACTGACTCGCAGAACGTCAATAACACATGACTAACTGGTACTTATTTTCCAAACATAATTAATTCGAATCTTACATACCAGCTTTTAATTTTTTTAAATACCGTCGAAAATAGCACTGCTGTTCGAAACACATTAGATATTATATTAAGAGTGCAAAGATGCGATCACTGGAACAAAAAATGTATTTGCCTGACGTTTCGGATTCCCACTCGAATCCATCATGGAAGACATTCGCAGATAAAGTTAATGGTGGCACCAGGAATGCAGGATTTATAGCACGTGGTTGCCGTGGGACCGTATGCGCACTGCAATTAACAGTTCTCGCAATCACCGCTGGGGTCGGAATTGATGCGGTGGTGGCTTGTCGGTCCGAGTCCGAGTCGTTAATTGTCGCGATTTCGTCATCCCTGCTGGATGCTGGTGGGACGATTGCTCGGCAAACTGGCTCACTGTCACTGTGATAATTGCTCACCCGCGCCCTCCCCAAGTGACTGATTCTCCTGTCCAGGGAAAATCGCAGCACGGAATATGGTGCCGGGAGGTCATTGAGCTTGTTGGTGGATTGCGGGCCTGAGAACCATGACTCAAGCAGCTCGCGGCTCACGCGGTTGTCACCCCTTGCGAGGATTTCGGCCTCTTGAAATTTGAAAATATGGCCAGGTCCCGTCGAGTGTGCCGCCACCTGAGAGTTAGCGTCTCCCCGTCTCATTGCTGATGCGTGCTCGGCAATTCGCTTACGGAGTAATCTCCCAGTTTCTCCGACATAATTGCATTGTCCGCAATTACACCAGATCCGGTAAACGACTCCAGACGTTTCCTGCCGTGGCAGCGGGTCTTTTGGCCTCATGACTTGGCGCCTAATGGTTACTTCCGGCCTGTGTGCAACCCCAGCTCCAAGTGGAGTGAGAAGACGACTGACGGCTTCCGAGACGTTTTTCACGTACGGAAGAGTCCGCCAAAATTTGGGGCCGGTTGGATTTGGTCTCTGGTGTCCTTTTCGTATGCACTGGTTGACAAAGTTGCGCGGGAAACCATTGGCTCTCATTACCCGTCGAAGATATTGTAATTCAGCAACCTTGTCTTCCATTTAACTGCAGTGCCACTCAACGCGCCGGTATAGCGCCTTACGCAACTGCGTTTGTGACTGATCGGGTGGGTGCTATTGCAGTTCAGTATTTGCGTCGTACTTGTCGTTTTCCTGAACACTTTGGTTTTTTAGGACACCACAAGCCTTGCGGTAGACGAGGACATCCAGGAAGGCCAGCTGATTGTTTTCCTCCTCCTCCATCGTAAATTGAATGTCCGGGAAGACGGCGTTGAGATGTTCTTTACGGCATGAGGCCTCATTCATCACAGCCGGTGCTAAACCTGCCAACATGCTCGCAGCAGTGGGATCAATCTTCGGCCAGAAGGGAGCGACAGACGAAACGAAGAACCTCATTCGACACCAAGTGTCCTCCCTCCTCATGGCTCATAGGACGCACGACGTGCTTTCCAAGGTCGAGCGCGATGCACTTAAGGAACTCAGAGCCGACAACGACCTCATTATCGTGCAGCTACGTGCTATAAATCCTGCACTCCTGGTGCCACCATCACCTTTATCTGCGAATGTCTCTCATGATGGATTCGAGTGGGAATCCGAAACGTCAGGCAAATAAATTTCTTGCTCCAGTGATCGCATCTTCATCTTCTGAACTGCCACCGGGCACTCGCCTGTTCGCCTCTCTCAGCAGATATGATATTATTGAATGCCACGTCTGTTATAAACATTATGGCCCAAATCAGAGCAATTGTTCTCGAAGTGACGCCTGATATTAAATGTTACTGAATCTTGGACCCATTCTCTAATTCCTGACTTTGCCCTTCGATTTGTACCGTCAAGACCGGACAATTAGACGTGGGGGCGGTTGTCTTCTTTATCTTAGATCCTACCTAAAGCACTCTACCTATTACTTGGATGTTTCCTCATTCACGGGAAATTTCTGTTTGCATTTCTTATTCTCTCGCACCAAAGAAATGCAATTATTGGCTGTATCTACAGTCTCCCAAATTCTTCAGCCAGTGATGATTCACAACTCTGTGAAATCTTTAAATTAATTTCGGAAGCTGCTTTCGATGTTAAAATAATCACTGGGGATATTAACCTTTCTGAGCTAGACTGTTGGGATGTGGACTCAGGTTGTTGATTTTCCCACCCGAAGCTCAAGTATACTTGACTTAATTTTCTGTAGAGGCTGCTTGCCATCGTCAGTGTCATCCCTAGGCCCACTCGGGGGCTCAGACCATGACATAGTTGTTTCAACGTTGGAATTCGAGGCTGACGAAATGTCGTCCCAAAAGTATAACTTTTTCCGCGATTTCCGATCAACTCGCTTAACCGAATTATTAACACACCTTAATTCCTACGACTGGACTGAGTTCTTCCTTAGTTCGGATGTAAATGTTTGCACTGCAAAACTGTACGAAATTTTGGGTCCGCTTATTTCTCGTTTTGTCCCTCGTAAGAAAATTATTAATGTTGGGGATGAGATTTTCCTACCTTTACCCTTTCGTCGCAGATTGCGCAGGCTTTATCGTCGTTTCCATCTGCAGAACGATGTTTCTGTTCTGCCCTTGATTCGTGATATTTTTGATCGAGCTAAGAGATTGTCTGAAGAAAAACAGCTAGCCAAAGAGGTCCACTTTACTGAAAACCATTCGTTAAGTGTCTCGAAACTTTTCTCTAGAAAAATACGAACTCAGAGAAAGACGCAGTATCCCATCCTTCGAGACGATCTCGGAAATCCCATAGTTGATGCCCAGTTAACCGCTGATAGCTTCAATGATTACCTGTCCAAAACGTTTATTGAAGACTCGACTACTCCGCTTCCGACCATCCAGTCATTGACCGGGGCAGTTCTAGAAACTATAAGTTTCACTCTGTGGGATGTGACTGTTGCGATTCGGCGTTTTCGTCAATCTTATAGTCCAGGCCCTGATGGTGTCCCAGTAAGCATTTTAAAAGCCGATGCAAACACGATCTTCCCATCCCTCTTATGCAAGATATTTAATCTTGCTCTTGAAAGTGAAACTTATCCTACCTTGTGGATGGAATCACACATTTTGCCCATTCCTAAGCACGGCAAATCTACATCATTTGATGACTTTCGGCCAATTAACACCCTCCCTGCGGTTTCGAAGATCTTAGAGACATTGATCAAGGATACGATGATGTGTCACTTAACAGCGAACAAGTTACTGAGTGTTGCTCAGCATGTATTCCTCAAAGCTCGATCTTGTGACACCTGTCAACTCTCTTTCTTTGACTATGTTCTCCAATCTAGGGACCATGGTTTTGCACTTTACACAGTATATTTCGATTTCACTACGGCTTTTGACCGTGTTGACCATGCTCTTCTCCTCTTGAAATTGTCCTCTTTCGGAATAGGTGGCAAACGTTTGAATTTTATATCCTCTTATTTGGGCACTCGCACACAACGAGTTAAGATTTCCAATACCATCTCCAAGCCCACACGTGTGAGGAGTGGAGTCATTCAGGGTAGTGTACTCGGCCCGCTTTTATTTTGCCTTTACGTTAATGATGTGCCCGATTTATTTCAGAATGGTAAGCCTTTCATGTATGCCGATGATCTTAAATTTGCATATCGATATAAGCCGGCAGATCATGACATCGTGCTTGAGCTCCTAAAGAGCCATCTACAGGCTATCGCCCAGTGGTGCCGCACATGGCGCCTTTCTCTTTCTTGGCATAAGTGCTCAGTCATGGTGGTTGGCGACGACCGCCAACCTCAACTAAGTATTGAAGGTCACGCAATAAATGTGCCAGGGGTAATAAAGGATTTGGGCGAATCATACTCCAAGAGTCTCAATCTCTCGGAGCACTGTGCCTTGATAGTCTCCAAAGCACGTAGAACGACCGGGTTTATCCTCCGAAATTTTAAAACTAAGGACATTAGAATGCGCCTTTTCAACATGTACGTTAGACCTGGTCTGGAATACTGTTCGTTTTCATTTAGCCTCATGCGTGCTACTGAGCGGAAGAAAATAGAATCCGTTCAACACTTTTTTACTAAGAGAATTTTAACCCCGGAACACCGACATTTGTCTTACCAAGAACGTTGCCGGCTTACAGACCTCGATCCTTTATGGTTCCGTAGATTACAAAAGGGACTATTTTTGCTATTTAAACTCTTATATAATCACACATTTAACCCGCTCACCTCTTTAAGACATTATATCCACCCACGACGTAACAGTCACCATGAGGTCTGCTTATTTCTGCCTCTGGCACGTACTGTTAAATATCGTCGGTTCTTTTCTGTAAATGCAATTGCTATTTAAAATAAACTACCAATGAGTGTGAAAACTCTGCAAAATTATCCTTTATTTAAGAGAACTATTACTCGATTTTTGCATTCAGAAAAGCTTCCTCAAATTTTGGGTGCTGAATCTACTGATCGACTGTACCGTAGCGATGGCGTTTGTGGTCTCTGAACACTATGGCCGGTCTCACCAGCTGTTCCTCAACGCCTCTACTTTGACTATCCCCAACTTCATGAAAGGAATTGACGTCCGATAATCTCCGATACCGTGCAACCTCCCCCCTTCTTGACGGTCGATATTCTACCACCGCCGACAGTTTTTTTCTCCTGAGTCCTCCAAACCACAAAAACCACCATCAACTATATTTTTATGCCTTAAGCTCAGGAGTTTTTTTTCACTGCTGGTCGGATTTGTGTTTAATCACTTCCCTTGACAATGCCTGTAAACTGGCATTAAATTAAAATTTATTTACCTAGATTCCAGCCCTTTCCATTTTTTGTCAATTTTTCTCACTGGTCCTAACTGGTGCGCTCTCCAACAAGAGATAATCATATTTTAGCTCTAATTTTTACCAATGACACTGCTCCCCTTTTGGTTGCTTTCAAAAAGGACCTTTTGGCAGTGACCAAGTATTAATTCATTGTTGCCTACCGCTTGCCTTTTCAAAAAAGACCAGCGCCGTTCGGACTTACATAAACTACGATTGCGTAGATAACGACTTAATAAATAACTATATTAGATCTCTGGATTGGTGTGGCTTCCTCTCCTATAGCGATGCAGCCATTCTTCGTAACGTCATGTCCAATGTTTCCAAGGACATCCTAGTGTTTGTGTGGCGTATATGTTCCAAGCCTAATTCTTCAGATTCCCTTGTTCTTCATTTTCTTCACAACAGACTAAAAAGTTGAGACGGAAGCTGCGTGACCCATCCACTAGTTCCTTATCAGTTCATATTAGAATCACAGAGATTTTTGAGATGGCCTCAAGGATGCGCCAAGCGCGCAACAGGCAAAAAGAATCACTTGCCCTTAGTGGTTCGAACCCTGGCCAATCCGTTGTTAACATCTTTCGTCATCGTTCATCCTCTAAGTGTGGTCATGAACTTCCACCCTGCTAAATGATAAAGTCTTCCGCATCGATTACACTGACATGGCAAAGTTGTTTAGCGCTTTCTTTGCGAAACACCTTAATAGTGAGTCCGAACCAGTCCCTTTCTTTCGCTCACTTTCAGCTAGGACACTGAGTACAATCGATGTCTCCTCAGATCACATTAAGAAACACATAAGTCGTTTGAAATAGTAACACTGCTCAGGAAAGGACGGGATTCCAAATTCGATTATTAAACAAGCGTTCGACCTTCCCATATTGCATAGTCATTTATTCTCGGTTTATACTTCAAAAGGATTCTTTCCTGAAACATGGAAAACGTCAATTATCATTGCCGTCTTCAAGTCAAGATCTCGGTCCGATGTTGATAACTATCGGGGCGAGCACAAATCGTCGTCTATAGCAAAGATTCTTGAAAGAATCATTTTGAATGAAATTCTCGACTTCTGCCTAGCTAATCGCTTTCTGAGCTCTACTCAGCATGGATTTTTACCTGAACGATCCTGCGAAACCTGCCACTTGGCTTTTCTTAATCTAATCACTTCTCTTCGTAATCTACGGCAGTCAGTGGTAGATATTTACTTTGATCTTAACAAAGCCTTTGACAAGATGCCCCATAAACTTCTTTTGGTAAACTTGACAGCTCTCGGCATCCGGCCGCCTCTACTCGACTTCATCAGGTCCTATCTGTCCAACCGATATCAGAACGTCATGGCTACTAGACACCTCACTCGATCACGAGTGGCGTACTTCAAGATACGGTTCTGGGTCCGCTACTATTCCTTCTTTACATCAATGACATTTCGACTGAACTCCGAGATTCGCACGCTGTTTAGGATCTATCGGACACATTCGGACAACACTTGCTTGAACTAGCAGTAGGAAAACTACTTTTCAATAATGTAACTATCGAAACACGCGTTGGGGAAGAGCAACGTTCAAATTGCCTCGACCTGGTGCTCACTCGAGATGAGAGGATTGTGCTGGATATATAAGATCTCCAGCCAATTGGTGCTAGTGATCATATTGTGATGCTCT